TTTCTCGTTAGCTTCTCTTGTTATGTACACCAACATGGCTGCCATGCCTCTATTCTTGGAACATAGCATGTGACATTATCACCACCATGTTACTACTACATCTGCCCCTTCCTCCCACCACTCATTTTGCTTTAATCTGTCAGTCCCTCAATTTCATATAGCCCCGAGTCCCTCTCTAACTGTCAAACTCTATCACCAGTCCTTCTCCGCTTTAGTTATCCAATCATCTCTCCTCATTGTCTGCACAATACTAATGAATAGATTCAATCCATCTGAACCATTAATAGTCTCTGGTCTACTGCTCCACCGAATATATTTAAATGAATGCAGAAGCCTTAGAACGAGCCCTAGTTACTATATATATTAACCAATAGGTAGCAGCCAAGGTCTGGGCATTGTCTAGCGTAAGATTGAATTAATACCATTTACAAGGTGTGCCTTATCGGGTGTTGTCTTACTCTCTCTTGTTCTTAGCTGTTCTGAATTTACTTTACATTGTGGGATAGCAGGTAAGTTTCGATTCTTCTTGGTACTCCGATACTAGCTTAAAAAGCATATTTTCTTTAAACGTTTGAATAGGACCCCTGGAGATTTTGTATTTAAATAAGCATAGATAAGCCATTCAATGAATCGAGAATAAATTGAGAATATTACTAAGATATTATAAAACGTATATATGTCTAAATTGTATTTCACTCTCGAGAAATATTCTAATGCCCTGAGCGCGTTTTTATTCTGTTTGGAAACATTTTAAAGATCAAAGTAGCTTTAGAAAGCTGAAAGAAAAGTTTGCCAGCTTTGCACGCTAGAATAGAAAGAGTGACAAATCTTTGATGACAAACGCAGAATATATAAACATTGTCATTAAGACGACATTTGTTTTTATTATACAATTGATAGAAAACAATTGCATTCAAAATATGATTCACCTTAGGGGTTCTGCATTCATTCAATGCTTTTTGTTTTTATAGAATTACTCACACACACTCGGTTTAATATGAATCAATTAATATCTATATGCTTGTAGTTTTGTTTAGTTTCTCAAAAACTCAACCCACGACGATTACACAAGTTTGTTTTCAAATTGCAACTATTTACATGAAATTTAAGGCCAAATTTGATATCAAAACTAATTGTAAAACGACAATTCATTCAGACATGAATAGTTAAAATCTAGAGCTTGCATAATTTGTTTATCTAACGCAAAACCATGTAGAGTTTTTTAAACGAGAAAAAAAAAAAAAGACTACCACAGGAATAGTGAAATACGATTATTATTTTTATAATATTCATCTAACGCCTCCGAAATAAATTGAATATAATATAAACGCTGCAACAGAATATTAAAATACGTAGAAAGATTATCATATTATGATGATATTTGTGAATTATTTCCAAAGAAATAAGATGTCTTTGAATGAAATTTGAGTCCACGATACTGGATATCATCTTATAGCTGAATGGAGCTATAGTTTTTAAACTAGATAACTGTAAGGAGATTGTTCCCTTTTACGATAGATTCTATTACCATTATCACTGAAAATATAAGAAGTAATTATGATTTTTCAGTAAAAGAGCAGACATAACGAACAGATTTGATTTGAATAAATACACTATTTGAATCTTCAAACACAACTTCAATAATATCTTTGGTGATGGTAATAGAATCTTTTTTTGCAAATAGAATGAGAGCAAATTAAAAAACCTTTAAAAAATATTTTTAACTGAGGTCTAAGCACACGTCACTAGTTTCAATTCAAAAGCAAAGTTAGGCCTAATTGATGGCCTTGTCAATGGGTTGGAGTCAGAGACACGTCAACCGTTGAAAAGGACGCTGTGTTGACCAGTGAACCATTCATTGAACGATATAAATATCTAGTATGTCACAAGCGAAAATCTTAAGACTTGCATGTTTTAAAGAGTTATTTGAATGATTTGAAGTACCTTTGTGGTTTCACCTTGGGTCTCATTTTCTTTATATTTGGGTAAACAAATCTATTTTTGTTGATATTTTTAACACCTTTGATGTAAAATTTGGTTGGAATAATGACTAGGACTTCAGAAATATGAATGGATGGATGGACGGACGGACGGACGGACGGACGGACGGACGGACGGACGGACGGA